AGATAGATAGATAGAATATGAACAGTCTAAGATAGATAGATAGATATGAACAGATAAGATAGATAGATAGATAGATAGATAGATAGATAGATCATAGATAGATAGATAGATATGAACAGTCTAAGATAGATAGATATAGATAGATAGATATATATGAACAGGCTAAGATAGATAGATAGATAGATAGATAGATAGATAGATAGATAGATAGATAGATAGATATAGTCTATATAGATAGAGCTAAGATAGATAGATAGATATGAACAGTCTTAGATAGATAGATAGATAGATAGATAGATAGATAGATAGATAGATAGATATGAACAGGCTAAGATAGATATGAACAGGCTAAGATAGATAGATAGATAGATAGATAGATAGATAGATAGGCTAAGATAGATAGATAGATAAGATAGATATGAACAGGTAAGATAGATAGATAGATATATGAACAGTCTAAGATAGATAGATAGATATGAACAGTCTAAGATAGATAGATAGATATGAACAGGCTAAGATAGATAGATAGATAGATAGATAGATAGATAGATAGATATGAACAGGCTAAAATAAATAGATAGATAGATAGATAGATAGATATGAACAGGCTAAGATAGATAGATAGATATGAACAGTCTAAGATAGATAGATAGATAGATAGATAGATAGATAGATAGATATGAACAGGCTAAAATAGATAGATAGATAGATAGATAGAATTAATACAAAGATAATGATTGTCACTTATTAGATTGATTTTACATTCAGCTTCCCGAATCCAGAGTTTTATAGAGAGGTATATACTTGTATTTTGATTGGTCATTCCAGCTTATGTAACAGCGTTTCCCCTTGCGAGGGGTGATTAATTAATTTGAACCTTTTAAAACTCTTTATTCTACATTCAACATCATCACTTGATAGGACACCAGATGTGTTGAAACAAAATGGCTATTTCTGTAGTGATTTTATAACCTCTTTATGTTATAATTTTAAATAAATAATTATATATATATATATATATATATATATATATATATATATATATATAGGCAGTGGATAGCGGTTCGGATTGAGGAATCAGGAAGCTGAGTTCGGATCTGTTACATCCACTTACTAATACCCTTGGTTGGGAAAGGTATTAATACTCCCTCCATGGGTAAATAGTGGGACAGACTGGGTTCTATATCCTTGAATGGCAACAGTTCTAGGAGAAGGACAACTTTGAATTTGGGGGTCCTTGTGACACGTTGTATATATATATGTTATTCTCGACTCTCCTGTCGAATTCGACGTATGAGGGTCAAGCAGATCAGTTCCTAGGAAACCGACTGCCCGACACCAGCACATGAGATTTTATTATAGTGGTTGTTGAGATGTTGTGAGTTTCCCGCGTGTCAGTGTATGAATCAAGACAAACGCAGTTGTAGAGGAAAATACTGGTATATTTGTAAAAGCAATTAACAATAGAGTGATTAGTAGAACGAAGGTTGGTTAGTACGAAACAATATCCAAAGTCTATAGTCCAACGGTATGTAACAGGTAAGCTTATCTGGACTGCTCACGCTCTGTCACTCGCTCTCACGTCCTCTCTCTAGAGCTGACTTATATAAGAGGGACCAGTCCATTTCTAGTTAGAAGGTGGGTGCGCCCCAACAGTGGTGAAGGTTTTGTGCAGGACCATCCACACCTTTTTGAAGGGTCGAATACAGAGACCTGGTGCATTACGTGCCACAAGGTCCCCAAACGACCCTCCGCAGGTTTGGAATTCAGAGTTGTCCTCCTCCTAGACCAGTTGCCATCCAAGGCTATAGAACCCAGTCTGTCCTGCTATTTACCCATAGCTGGAGGGAGAAGAGGAGGATTCACACCTTTCGCAATACACACACACACACACATATATATATATATATATATATATATATATATGCAGTGCTTTCTGCATTCTGTTGAGGTTTCTTTCAGACTCGATGAATTACTTAAATATAATTATCAAATCCTCCTAATAATTTCTATTATGTACATCATCGCTTGAACCGGCTTCTAATACGCTAGAGTGAGCGGCTTGGTGAGAGTAGTCGTGGCTCCAGGGGGCACAGTCCTATGATTACAGAGAACTCAGTCAGAGTTTCACCACGGAATATGTGAGCGAGCGGCGCTATATTGAGTCTGATTTGCAAGCTCTTCGTTACCGAGGCTCGGTAGAACAGGTGGCATGATGTTTACTTGGCAACCTAACTGTCAGGGTTTCAATTCTCGGTTGTTGATTGCCACTGCTGATGAGTCCCAAATATAGGACGAAACGGCCGTCCAGTGCTTTCTGTTGAGGTTTCTTTCAGACTCGATGAATTGCTTAAAAATATAATTATCAAATCCTCCTAATAATTTCTATCATATATATCTATATGTATGTATCAGTGTTAAATCATTCTTGAATTTAATACCGTTTGTCTTTCTTTTTCTTGTTTTATTCTTTCCCTCTCACTTCTGTATCTCTTATCTTGATTTCATCATTCCCGAGATCCTTCCAATTAAGTTGTCACACTTTATAGGAAATGAATAAAGTCAGTCAGTTATGTGCCATACGTGATGCACGCTTAAGCTATAAGCTTTCGATACATGACTGACGAGACAGATTTTCCCGCATTAGGTTGCCATTTCTTTCTGCGGTAGACCAGTTACCATTTCTAGCCTATAGAACCCGATCTGACCTGCTATTCACCCATAGAAGAAGAGGATTCATACCATTCCCAAGGGTATTAGCACGTAAGTGAATGTAATGGATTCGACTGGAATTCGAACTCGGCTCTCCGATTCCTCAATCCGAGCCAAAACTCTTCTGAAATGTTAAATAACTAATTTATTTAGTTGAAATAGGTTCTGTGTTGAATGTTCTTCAACTTACCCCTAAATTCTAGATCCCATTTTTTATGATCTTTTGATGTGATAAACAGTTCAAATACTTCGATTACCTCTTCCTTATTGGAGAATGTTTTATTGCGTATGAAAAGCTCAAAATGCTGATGATAATCAGTAGGAGAGATATCAGGTGAATATGAAGGATGAGGAAAAATTTCAAGATTCAGGGGATGCAGCTTTTGGATAGTTGATTGAAACGTATGCAGCCATACGTTGTTGTGCAGAAAAATTGAGCCACCCCTATTCACAAATCTAGGATGTATTTTATTTTATGTTTTTTTTTTTTTATTTTTAGTTTTTCGTGCATACATACAAATTTCTCCACAATACAAGGTTGCTGTTATTGTTTTCCCTTGAGACAAGAATGAATAATGAATAACCCCTTTGAAAGACCACCATACATAAACCATTAACATTTTAGGGAGCAGTGGAGGTTTTTGGGTATTGTTTTGGTTATTCACTTGCATCTAACCACAGGCCTACTCTCTGGTTGTTGTCAACGTGTATCCATTTCTCATCGCTTGTAATGATTCGATGCAAAAATTGTTCTTTTTTTCCAGTCGGGACAGAAAACAGAAAGCACACCTCAAAACGACGGGGGTAGTTAACTCTCATTCAGTTCATACGGAACAACCCTATCCAGTTTCTATAATTTTCTAATTTCTTTCAAATGCTAAGAAACAGTTGTGCGAGATGTTTGTTAGAGTTTATTTGTGTATATATATATATAACTAGTGAGCCAGTCAAAATGACTTGACTCACTTTATAGTCCACCAATAGAAGGTTAACCAATCAGAAGACGTAGAATATTCAATCCGTCGTGTATAAAGGCGGCCATTTTGTCTACTCTACCCGAATGTCCAGTTTCAGCTTGTCAGGCGAAGAGATCCAGAAGGACGAACTACGCTCTGCTACTTTTACCAAAATATCCACTGCTAACCTGAACAACGCTTTCCTACTGTCTTCGAAATATTCACTGCTAACCTCTGGATTCTATACTCGAAGACGACCGTCATCATGAACAACAATGTCGCATGCTCTGATGTAAGTTTTCGGATTGTAATTCTAGGATATTGATCAACCAAAGTATTCAATTGATCATGCGTGATAATCGATTGTGGTCTTCCTCGTGGTTTATTATCAAAACTATAATCTCCCGAACAAAACTTCTGAAACCATCTCTGTAGAGTTCTGATCTCAATAATACCATTACCAAAGGCTGCCTTGATATTCCGAAATGACCCAGTTTGTACATGGTTACAAACTGGGTCATTAAGATTACCCAATTCTAATCATTTTCATTGGGCTTATCAGTAACATTATATAAAATGTAAAATCATCTGGAAAGAAAAAAAATGTCAAGAATAAGTCAAGATCTTTTCAGGAGGTTACTTTACTAGGCAACCGGGTCAACAACCAAGCCTAAAAAAAAATGCGTCATTTCATGTGTGACAATACATAACCCTGTTGATTCTTATACTGTCTTTTCCTATATCCTTGGTTGTTTTTCTTTCTTTCTTTCTTTCTTTCTTTTTTTCTTTCATTCTTTCTCCTGCCTTTTTCAATTTCATTTTTTCTTATTTTTCTTTCTACATTCTTTTTATTGTCCTTTCTTTCTTTTTTCTTTCTTATAGATACCTATGTTATTGTACGAGATGAAAGTTATTGCTAGCCAGGGATAGATAGATAGATAGATAGATAGATAGATAGATAGATAGATAGTGTTGTGGAGTGTTTTCGCAGTGGAGGCTTGTATTTGTACTAAGTAGGTTCGACGTACAAAACGTTAGGAACTTGATATAATAGGCATTACGCAGAGTAATCTTGTAGTGGTCGCTGATACTTTCGTATTCGACTAACTGTCGTCCGACATCGACTCACTGACTGGATATTCAGTCACTCCCCCACACACACTGGGGCAGCATGTGACACAAGGTCGGTTATTTATTGTGGGTTCTCCGAGTCCGTGGGCTCGGCCCAAAAATATGCCCATTGAACCCGTATAAACGGGCTCAGGGCCGGTTTACCTCTCCGAACGAGACTCCGCCCCTCGGCGTAGCCTCGTTCGGGTTCCTCCCCGCCCGAAGGCAGAGAGTTCAACCGAACAGTCGGTTCAGAAGTGAACGACTGACTGACTCGTCGTTTCTCTTATTACTCCTACTTATTATAGGTAGGAGAGTCTATTAACTATGGAATAGGTGTGTTTCACCATAACAGATAGATAGATAGATAGATAGATAGATAGATAGATAGATAGATATAAACAGGCTATGATAGATAGATAGATAGATAGATAGATAGATATGAACAGGATAAGATAGATAAATTGATAGATAGATAGATAGATACCTTTGAGTCTTTCGGATTGTATAATTCATAAAATCAATGATCGTAATGAATAATTGATTTTAAGAATTTCCTCAGGACGCAGCATCTGGACGAGAGCCATTGTGCTGTGGTGGCGGCGGTGGTGGTGGTGGTACGTGTGCTGCTGCTGCTGCTGGTGATGGTGATAGTGATTTCAGGCGCCCAGTCCTTCGAAATTTCATTCGTTACTTTCCCTTGCTGACTGATTTGAGCCAAATTAAAACGTATTTTCCTCGCGAGACGAACTTTTGACAATTATCAAAATAACTTTTGAAAACAATACAAACCAAAAATATGCCATAAATAAATCAAAATTGAGAAAAGATTAAAAGGAAAAAAATTCAACACAACGAAAATTTTTCTTCGTTCAAACTTTTTTTCCTTATTTGCTAGTTTTTCATATTTTTTTTATTTTCTTCCTTCGTTATTTTTTGTTTTTTCGTTTCTTTTTTAAATTTTGTCGTTTTTTCTTCGTCTTTTTTTTCTTTTCCTGAAAAAAAAAAGAAAGTAAAAAACTTTTTTCTACGATTTTTCTTTTTCTCTTCTTTGTTCGATTTTGCGTTTTCATTATTTTCGTCTTTTTTGTTTGTTTTTTTATTTGTTTTTTATGCGTTTTTTTTTTTTTTTTTTTTTTCGGATTTTTCTTTTCGATTTCCCTCCCTTTTTTCGTTTTTTGTAGTTCGACTTTTATCTTTTTTAATTCTTAATATTTGGATCGTTTTATTTATTTTTTCGTTTTTTTCTTCGTTTCTTTGCTTTCTCTTTTCTTTAGATTTTTTGGTTCATTTTCTTTCTGTTCGCTTTTTTTTCTTTTTTTATTCTTCCTTCTTTTTTTTGTTTGTTTTTATTTATTTTTACCTTTTTTGTTCTTTCTTTTTCATTTTCTTTTTGTTTTTTGTTTTTATTCGTTTTTCCTTTCTGTGTTCATTTCGTTTTTATTCGTTTTTTTCTCACGTTTTTCATTCCCTTTTGCACAACTTATCAATTATTTCGTTTCTGAAGAAATTTCCGGTTTATTTATAACCTCGTTGATGACGGGTTTTTTCTTTTGAACGTCGGGGACACCAATTTGTTGGGGATGCGCAGAATGAACTAAGATTTTTTGCTATGGTGTTAGAATATATCAGAAGGAATTTTTGTCAGGTTGCGTGATCTTCTCTTGCATCCACAACAATAAATAATACTTAATATAAAACAAGGCAAAACATGTATGCAATTCAAACAAACAGATGCATTTATATACAATATAAATATTATATACAAAATATTATTACAAGATATTATTGTGTTGTTATGTTTGTTAGTGAATGAAGATTTTTGTTTGTTTTTTAGTGTCTTGGTGTATTTGTATTACAGTCTATAAGAATTCGTAATTAGTGTTTAAAAACTGTTATTATGTTCGTGTTGTTCTTTTTGTATTGTTTAGAATTGAGTCATTCAGAAGTAATCTACCCTTAACTGTAAGTATGAAATATGTTCAATAATAGTATTTACTTAAATTGTAATGAGCGTTAATAATTCAGTTTGGATAAGTAAAGTCTTGCGAGTTGAAGTTCTTTGTATTCACAGAGTAATCTTTGAGTCGAGTTTGTAGGTGAGTCAGTTGTAGGTTTTTTTCGCGCGGGAAAATTATAATCGCAAGTTACGTGGATTAGATTAGCGCTTCTCTGTGTTCGCTGGACTGACTGATTTATCGTAGATGATCAAAGAGAATGTATAGTTTGAGATACTTGAATGATGAAGAAGTTCGTAGAAGATATTGAACGGGAAAGATTTGTCGTCTCGATTTGTCGAGACGGGAGTAGTAGTCGTCACATTTTTAAGCTTGAGTGAGCGGTCGAATAAAAATGGTCTGTTACTGATCTGCCCAGGTTTGCATCTGCGTGTCACACGTGCTTTGGGCTTTTTTTAAGAGGTCATGGATCACGTGGGTGGCTCCAAAACGATTTTGCGCCAAAACTTCGAAGTGCACGCGCGGGCTACCTGATTGGTAGAAATGAACCAATCAGATGGCAAGATTTACGAATGAAAGTTGGAATAGTGCATTACTCGAAGAAGGTAAGATTGGGCTAATAGACGAGCCCAATAACCTATTTACCTTGTTTAACTTTCTCTTGCTTACGCCCTGAAAAACTTTTTCATATTAACGAAGAATTAGCCTGCCTGGGTTCGTTACATCTTTTCAAATGATTCCCTTTGTGATATCACAAAAGTATCTTTTCCACTTTTCAAAACAGTTTTTATACAATTGTAAGGAAGTGAAGTTCGTAGGGCTATGCTGGAAAGATAAAGGTTAACCTTAGAGTTGAAGAAATCCAAATTTTAGTGAAAAAAATCCTGCTGGGAATTTGTTCTACAAAACAGTAGTTGTTGGGAGGAAGCTGACCAAATGGAACTTGTTTCTTACTATAGGAATATAAAGGACATTGAAATGATTCACTCTTGACGGGTCCCAATTGTAAAGGCCTGAGGAGGTGGGGACTAAACAAAACAAGCCATGGAAGAAGCGATAGATCAGCTAGAGACATGCAACGTTTCGTCTGTAGGAAAAGGGTTGTAAGGCGTAAAATAATTCATCACCCACAAGGCCGGGTAGATGCTTTTCAAATCTATCAAGGCAGGCAAAGGAAGACTGGTTAGTTCCAGCCCAGATGTGGCAGTAATACCTCATTTGGGTCTGATCTGGCTATTGTAACGATAGAGTATAGCAGGAGGAGTCGGCTACTTCCCGGAATGGTACAAGGAGCCAGCCATTTCTGCAGTATCTTTAACAGTAGATATATGAGATCCACTCGAGGTTTGGGAAGAACTTGAGTCTCAATAGACATTCAAGATAAGAAGATGGCTGAACAGGAACAAGCAAAAAAGTTGTTTACATCTACAAAGGACAGATCCTCCATAGCCTGAACGAACACGGCACATAGATTTTGATTAACTTTTAAATATCTTTATTTCTGATACAATAAATAATAGTAGAATAGCATAATAATAGTTTGGTTTGGTTTCGTTTCGTTTGGTTTGATAAACGGCCTATCAACCTAAACGGGTTATTTAATGCCGACAAAATTTTTATTGCAGGTAATATGTTTTTCTTCAAAAATTTATTTCTGGGAATATTTTTTCTTGGAGAAATCTATAGCTGGTAATATTTTTTTCAAAGAATGCATAGCTTTATTTACATTATTCGGACTATTGTCCTCATCTTTGTCGCCATATTTATCACAACGTTTCGGCCGTTGTACGCTCCGGCCTTCTTCAGGTGGTTGGAATGTCGAACTTTCAGAGGGAAATTAACAGGAGATAACTGATAACTGACATCCATTAAACATGGCACGTGGAACTAGAACAGTCTACCCCAGTGAGCGAAATAAAGGGTTCAGTTCGACATTCCAACCACCTGAAGAAGGCCGGAGCGTACAATGGTCGAAACGTTGTGATAAATATGGCGACAAAGATGAGGACAATAGTCCGAATAATGTAAATAGTGTACATAATACCTCATCTCAGAAATATAGACAGATACTGAAGGGCTGAAACATTGTAATAAATATGGCAACAAAGATGAGGACAATAGTCCGAATAATGTAAATAATGTACATAATACCTCGTCTCAGAAATATAGACAGACTCTGAATGCATAGCTGTTTGTATTGCTGGTACATTTTCTTTTAAATTATTGCTGATAGTAATTTTTTCCTTCAAAAATTATTTCTGGTAATATTTTGTTTTTTATTACAAAGTATTTCTGGTATTAAAACCTATTTTTACATAAGTTTCGGTGTCAACTATTTGCCCATAGCTGGGACCCTAACAGGTGCTACCACCCCGGGTCAGAGCGGACCTGGGAACGCCAGCAATTAAGAGGTGGTTTCACGCTCCTGAAAACCTCCTGATCAGAGGCCTTGCTGCTGGACGTAGTTTATCGTCTTACCCAGGACGCAGATGTACTTTATCGTCATACCCAGGACGGAATAATAATAGTTCTTGTAAATATTTCTAATAAAAACAGAGGCTACAGGCGTATTTATCCTATAAACACAGGTATTGATGGCTAGCCAATCGTATCCGAGGATGCTCGCTTACAAAGGCGACGAGATAATACCTGTTCTAGACGCCTGTAGAACAAATACATTTGTGTTGGTTCAAAAACACTAAGAGCCCACCATGAACCCATATCCTTGTGCTCTCTCCAATTGCTATTTAGCAGACACTGATTATGATCACTTAGCATTAATGATCTTAGGAAAGGCATGAACTCATATCTTTGTGCTCTGTTCGATTGCTTGTTAGCTGTGACTGGTTATGACCACTTAGCATTAATCCGCTAAAGAAAGGCATGAACTCATATCCCTGTGTTCTGTCCTATTGCTAGTTAGCTGAGACTGGTTATCACCACTTAGCATCAATGCTCTTCGGAAAGGCATGAACCCATATACTTGTGCTCTGTCCAGTTGCTAGTTAGCTGAAACTTGTTATGATCACTGTTCATTATTGATCTTGCTAAAGGCATGAACTTATATCCCTATGTTCTGTCCCATTCTTAGCTGAGACGGACTATCACCACTTAGCATTGATCCTCTTGGGAAAGACATGAACCCATATCCTTGTGCTCTGTCCAATTGCTTGTAAGCTAACACTGGTTATGATCACTTCGCATTAATTATCTTGAGAAAGGCATGAAACGATAACCCTGTGTTCTGTCCTATTGCCAGTTAGCTGAGACTTGTTAGCATCACTGTTCATTAATGATCTTGCCAAAGGCATGAACCTATATCCCTATGCTCTGTCCCATTCCTAGTTAGCTAAGACTGGTTATGATCACTTAGCATTAATTATCTTGGGAAAGGCATGAAACGATAACCCTGTGCCCTGTCCGATTGCTTGTTATCTGAGACTGGTTATGACCACTTAGCATTAATCCGGTAAGTAAAGGCATGAACTAATATCCCTGTGTTATGTCCTATTGCTGGTTAGATGAAATTTGTTATGATCACTGTTCATTAATGATCTTGCCAAAGGCATGAATCTATATCCCTATTCTCTGTCCCATTCCTAGTTAGCTGAGACTGGCTATCATCACTTAGCATTAATCCTCTTGAGAATGGTATGAACCCGTATCCCTGTACTTTGCCCAATTGCCAGTTAGCTGAGACTGGCTATCATCACTAAGCATTAATTATTTTGGGAAAGGCATGAAATGATATCCCTGTATTCTGTCCTATTGTCAGTTAACTGAGACTGGTTATGGTCACTTAGCTTTAAATATCTTGGGATGTGTTTATGCAACGATGCCGAGCAGACATTAGTTACAGTTTCTGGGGGAAATGGCGTTATCTAGCGAACAGTACGAATCATCCTCGATCACGCTGGCTTTTAACTTCGTGCTCGCAAAAACCATCGACGGCTCCAACGGTGTTCCGTGTCTGACCCATTTCACTCAAAGCCTTTTCTGGCACTTTCCAAAATGCAGCACGTTGACATTGTCTCCTCCAGAACGATAACACCTTCCTGACGAATCAGCACTGGTGAAATTCGAACCCATGTTCAGAAAGCGAACGTTCTAACCACTCGGACACATTACCATATATGCTGACATTTTACTATTACCTTCAAATCTTACTCCATCTTGATTTGAAACCTAAACTTTAAGTAAGAAATATTACCCATCTAAAAATAGCTACAAATTAAATTCATGAATTAGACTCAAACTGATAAAGATATTACCTTAACAGTCATTCACACTATTAATAAACTTTTATATCTTTTTATTATTGTTGTTTATTAGTATAGTATTCAACTCATATTAAATCCCTAATTTATTTGTAGAGAAGTTGAATATTTAAATTGCTAACAAGCATTAAATTTGATTTCTTTGTGGAGCTTTTAAACATTTAAATTACTATCAAACATTAAAATCTGTTTTTATCTAAATTGCTAAAGCTATACCACCCCTCTTCTTCCTCCAAAAACTCTACGTACATCTCTTATCTCTTTACTTTCCCCCTTTTTCTTTTTCCCTTTTTTCTGTTTTTCCTTTTCCCATATCATTTCCGTTGAGTTGACCGATTAAATAGGTCAATGTCTGATCCTTACCCCTCCTTCCTCAATATTAAGTATTATAATAAAAAGAAATATAAAAATAAATTTTAAAACTCTCCCTTCCCTCTCTAAACTCGACCATGTCTCTCACAACATTCCTCGCTACCTTCTATGTTAACTTATATAAGCTTAATACTGCTCGTCAAAAGTGTAAATTTTAATTTCATTTTTCGTTTCACCTTTTAAAAGTGATGTCTGAGGATCCAGGGAAAATTAAAAGTCTCTGGTGAAATAAATTATTACAATGGAGCCTTAAAGTGGTCTGTTTTTCTTTAAATTATTAGCTCTGAATTAACATTTCATCCTCCTTGGGATTATCCATACGGATTACCAAGATTTTCGTTACTTATATATTATATATATATATATATATATACATATATTTTATATATCCTATACTTTAATATATATATATATATATATATATATATATATATATTTATATATATTTATATTTTGATAACAACGACACCCCTTTCTCTCACTCTCTCTCCCTGCCTTCTTCACTTTCTCTCTTCTTTCCCCCCCTTTCTCTCTGTCCCTCTCTACATCCCTTGCCTCTCTCCTCCATCTCTCTCCATCCTCGCTCCATCTCTGTGTATGCATTTTCTTTCTACCTCTCTCTCATCCCTCTCCCCTCCCTTTCTCTCTTTTCAGTATCTCTCTTCTTCCTCTCCTTCTCTTCCTCCCTTTTTCCATCTCTCTGCATCTCTCTCTTTATTTCTATCCATCTCTTTCCCTCTCTCTCGCTCCTTCTCTTCCCTCTCTCCACTACTCTCTACCACTTTTTCTCCCTTCTCTCTCCCCCTCCCTCTCTCCCTCTTTTTTCTCCCTTCTCTCTCCCCCTTTCTCTCCCTTCTCTCTCCATCTCTCTCCGTCTTATCCTCTCTCACTTCCTCTCTCTCCTTCCCTCCATCTTTCCTCCTTTCTCCACCACTCTCTATCCATCTCTCACTCCCCTCTTTCCCTCCCCCCTCTCTCCACCACTCTCTCTCCCTCCCCTCTTTCTCTCCCTCCTCTCTCCATCTCCCTTCTCTCTCTCTCCTTTCCATCTCCTCTCATTCCGGGGCGACGAACGTGAGCGCTCATCCATCGTGTCACAATGTCACTTGTTTTAGTTCATTGAAATAATATTATCGGATAAAAACCTATAAATGACTTTTGCTTTTCTGGAATAACCGAAACAAAGATTGTCTGCTTAAGGCCTTGACAGTAACGAAAGGTCAAACCCGTCCACATGAAAAATGCGAATAGAACGTTTAAATCACTTCTGTTTGATGAAAGGTCAAACCTCTTCCTCTCAATATATGAAGTGGCGTGTCAGTCCGTGAAGACCAAATATTTTCTGATTGTAACTTTTTTTTCCCCCTTTTCGCTTTTAATCTTATCGATAAAATTATCAGGATAGATGCAATTCTAAGATAAAATCATTTTCATAATTATTAATTGTAGACCTTTTTTTTTCTTTCTTTCATCTTATGACGTTTTATATGCTGCCCCGTGGACGTTGTTGGTTGGCTGTTTTGTTTTATGGCATATCAACCTCAGTGGGTCATTTAATGCCAACAACATTTTTGAAATAGATTCATAGCGATAGTTTGAAAAAAAAAGGTGTGTATGTAGATATATATATTTGAACCATTTTTCAATTACTCATATTTTTGAGTACAATCCAACTTCTTAAAAAAGTATCGCTGTCCAAGGACACATGGCACAGTAGATAAAGGCGTTAGTTAGATCCAGTGACAGGTCCCAAAGAGTCTGAGTTCAATACCCGGTTAAGGCAGTGGAGAACTTGGAGAGGGGAATTAACAGGAGATAACTGACATCCATTAGACTTAGCACAGTCTACCCTATTTGATCTATATAGTCTATGAAATGTTGCATTGAGAAGAAATAAATATTTGTTTTATAAAATAAATGTTTTTCATTGTACGTAAAGTTTGTAAAATTGTAGTTTCTTCTGGCTTGTAATCCATTTCCTTAAGACAAACAATCCACAGACTACCACACATGTCTCACGTTCTCTACAGCAGTCATTGTTCTGTCTATCGCCTCATTATGCACTTTTTTATATCTTCATAGACAGCCAAAATTTATATATGTAAAAAGAGACTCTTGAGAGAGTCTACCTAAATCTATGCATTTTCAAATGTCCTGCAAAGCCACCATTTTTTTTTTTGATAATTTACATGCAAGACATGTCTGAATCCATTTTCATCCTGGAGGCAATGAATTTTCTCTAGTGTTACATTAACTGTTGCAAAAAATTCATGCAACCTTAAGCCTTTTTCCCTCTGCAGTAGTTCACTACAGTTATTAAGCTATTGACATATTTATGTATCTGTATATTCTCCATTGAATTATGTGCATTAACAAGTGAAGAGATTATGTTGAAAAATAAATACTTGTTTTATGAAATAAATGTTTTTCATTGTACGTAAAGTTTCTATTTTCTAACTAAGTTATCTGGACATTCATTAAAAACATCTATAATGATGTAATAGAATAACCAGTCACTCCCATGAATGATTACACTATAGGTAGTAAGTACCTATAAAGTCAACTACAAGAGACTCGGAGAAGAGTGTGAGAGAGACGACGCCAGCACGACCGATCTTCCAATTAGTGGCACTCACTACTGGATTGACCTGTGTGTATAACTGTACCGTATTTCATATTGTACTGGTTGTGTACAATAAATAAATCCTTCTATTATCCACCTGGTGTTAAGTATTTATTCCCTTAGCACCATTTAATATAACATAAAAAAAAACTAAGAGAAAGACTGTATACACTTTACTTATTCTTTAAGTTATTTTTCTGTCAGATTCGAATCCATATTTGATTTACATTTCACCCCAAACTGACAATTTTATTCAGTATTACAGTCCCTTGCGTCTCCAACACCACATAATTATCAGATAATAAATAATACTTACATTGCTCAGTCTATAATCCTCATCTTTATTGCCATATTTATCACAACGTTTCGGCCGTGGTACGCTCCGACCTTCTTCAGGTGGTTGGAATATCAAACTAAACCCTTTATTTCGCTCGCTAGGGTAGACTGTTCTAGTTCCACGTGTCATATTTAATGGATGTCACTTATCAGTTATCTTCTATTAATTCCCCTCTCCAAGTTCTCCACTGCCTTAACCGGGTATTGAACTCACACTCTTTTGGTCCTGTCACTGGATCTAACTAACGCCTTTATCTACTGGGTCATGTGTCCTTGAGGAAATAGAACAGTCTGCCCCAGCGAGCGAAATAGAGGGTTTAGTTCGACATTCCAACCATCTGAAGAAGGCCGGATCATTACAACGGCCGGCCGAATAACGTTGTAATAAATATGGCGACAAAGAAATGAGGACAATAGTCCGAATAATGTAACTAGTCTACATAATACCTCATCTCAGAAATATAGACAGATATGTATCGCTGTTTGTATTACTGGTAGTTTTTCTAATGTATTGCTGATAATAATTTTTCCTTCAAAAATTGTTGCTAATTATAATTTTTTTATTACAGAAATATAGACAGATACTGAAGGGCTGAAACATTGTAATAAATATGGCAGCAAAGATGAGGACAATAGTCCGAATAATGTAAATAATGTACATAATACCTCGTCTCAATATAGACAGATACTGAATGCATAGCTGTTTGTATTGCTGGTACATTTTCTTTTAAAGTATTGCTGATAATAATTTTTCCTTCAAAAATTATTTCTGGTAATATTTTGTTTTTTATTACAAAGTATTTCTGGTATTAAAACCTATATTTACATAACTTTAAGTGTTAACTATTTGCCCATAGCTGGGGCCCTAACAGGTGCTACCACCCCGGTTCTGAGCGGACCTGGGAACACAAGCAATTAAGAGGTTATTTCACGCTTCTGAAAACCTCCTGATCAGAGGCCTTGCTATTGGATGTAGTTTATCGTCTTACCCAGGACGTATCGTCTTACCCAAAAAAACATTGGGATTGAATATGCCGTAAAGCAAAAACATTGGGGTTGAATATGCATTGGGATTGAATATGCCGTAAAAGCAAAAAAACATTGGGGTTGAATATGCCGAAAGCAAAAAACATTGGGGCAAAATATGCCGTAAAGCAAAAACATTGGGATTGTTGAATTGGCGTTGAATATGCCGTAAAGCAAAAACATTGGGATTGAATATGCCCGTAAAATTGAATAAAAAAAAAACATTGGGGTTGAATATGCCGTAAAAAAAAACATTGGGATTGAATATGCAAAAAAAACATTGGGATTGAATATGCCGTAAAGCAAAAACATTGGCGTTGAATATGCCGTAAAGCAAAAACATTGGGATTGAATATGCCGTAAAGCAAAAACATTGGCGTTGAATATGCCGTAAAGCAAAAACATTGGGGTTGAATATGCCGTAAAGCAAAAACATTGGGATTGAATATGCCGTAAAGCAAAATCATTGGGATTGAATATGCCGTAAAGCAAATAAACCAAACCAAACATTCACTTATGTGCTAATACAAATGGAAAAGGTATGAATCTGTCTCTTCTCCCTCCAGCTATGGATAAAATAGCAAAACAGACTAGGTGGCAATGGAAAAATAGTGTGAATTCAAAACAACGTTTGGACTCTGTCAAGCTCTCTTGCCCAGGAAACACCCCTGCTACTACAACTGCAGTACACGTGGCGCCTCTACGATCCTAATGAGTTACAAGTCAGTTCGTGAATTGTTCAGTGCCTCTGGGACTTTCTTTTCTTTTCTTTTCTTTTCATGTGCCGTGCCCTTTCAGGACGTAGGCGATCATGGCTCACTACTTCCCTCTACCCCTTGCAGCTCTCAACAAGTTATGCTCCTGGCACCTCTCCCAGACCATGTTCTGTCATCCACTTGCTTAAGACCGCTAGGTATGTCTTGCATTGTTTTCCCTTGTCCTCTCTTTCCCTCTATTCGACCTGTGGGTATCAGATTTTACAGGCCCTCCATCCTCATTACATGTTCCAGAAACTTCAGCTGCCTCTTCCTCATGTTAAGTATAAGCCGTTTCCTTGTTTGCATAAGTCATTTTATAAAATGGTGCTCTGCCTCGTCAGTCATGTACCGAAAGCGTGTATCACGTATGTCAATTATACAGGATGTCCCAAAAGTCACCTAGGTATTTAAAAATGTTATCATTTTTATTTCCTTTTCTTTCCAAAAATTTGATAAGCGTAGCCGAATTATCACTGAAAAAAAAATTCACAGCTGAACAAAAAAAAAAAAATAAAAGTTGGAATTTTAATTTGGATTTGATCAAACCTTCTTTTAACGGATAATTTCGTCAAATTTTAAAACCCCCACATTGTTCAGGTCTCAGATCTCCCTATTAATTTCTTTGGTGGGGAGGTACAGTGATATTCGATAAAAGTGACTCAACTGATGTTTTTACTAAATGTTCTCTTCTCCGATGAAACGAAAGTTGAGCTAAATTCAATGGATAAGCGATCTAAAATCCGAAGAAGAAGCTTAAAAAGCTCTTTGAATTTAGCAGTAAGTACTGTCAAGCATCCGTTCAGTATAATATTCTGGGGATGCCTTTCTTTTCATGGAACTGGTTTCTTAAAACCTATTGAAAAGACCCTCAGGAGCGAGCAGTACAAGAGAATTTTAGTCTTGTCTGCTCCTTTCTGCTGAAAGGGTGCAAATCGACCCCACCAAGCTCATTTTTATGCAGGATAATGCTCCCTGTCACAAATCAAAATTGATGAAGGAATACTTTGATGAGAAGCAGGTGAGTGTTATGACATGGGCGCCCCAATCTCCTGACCTCAACCCCATAGAAAACTTATGGAGCATTATAAAGTACAGGCTCTTGAGAAAGCAGTTGAGCAACAAAGAGGATTTGATTGTGAATTTCATATCCGAATGGAATTCAATGCTTGGAGATGAAATTTGCCAGAACCTAATCAAGTCAATGCTAAAAAGGGTTGAAAAGGTTATTCAAAATAAAGGAAGACCCATAGATTATTAAATATTTCGAACTATATTACATAATATAAATAAATTATACCTCTATTATTCTTTATTTAAAGCTGTTCGGTTATGTTTTTATTGATTACGAGTTGCAGGAAATAAGTGAGTCACT